TCTCAGCAAACTATCTACCAATATAGGACAGGGTCTTCGGAGAAAACTGCAACGTAATGCCCATCGGTCGGAGTCACGATTCCCCTTGTCTAACCTCTGAAGCTCCGACGGGAAAGCTTGTGATTGAACCATGCGAACAACACCAGTTTCTGCTGTTTTTAATTCAGTTGGAACGATGGGCCCAATATTCAACGTGTCGTCAGGTCGCAGTCCCCTCATAATAACGAGTTACCATTTGAATCTAGTCCACCAGACAACTACCCTCAGCACCTTCGTTTATCGTGAAAAACGATGCAATTTCTTCAGTAAGATGTTGGTTGAAGCAACGACTAATGTAACGGTCCTCTTAGTCTCTAGTAACTCGGTTGTGACAGGGGGAATCTGAGTGTCGGGTTATTCGCTGGGCTGGTTCGTCAAGAAAGCCGGCCTATGTAACCATGATTTTATTTTTACCAAGTTCAGCACAATCCTGTAGCAGTAGTCGGCTGGACTGTCACGGGATTTTATATGCCGCCATTGACACACCTCCGTTTCTTCGTGACAACAAACGTGCTGAAGCGCGTTCGTAAATTGCTAACATAGTGAAGAACTATAGCGGAATCAGTCCTGTAAGTTACGATCCGTTCGATTAAGTTAAAACATCTTTTAAGCAACTTCGATACCTTCACGGCTAATACTGCTGCGGCCAGTTCTAAACTGGGCATTGAGACTGACTTTAGAAGGGCAACCCTGGCCTTTGCGAACAGAATACTGCTATGCCTTCTTCCTCCTGGCCGAGACGAGCAACCGTAGACCACCACTCCGTATCCCAGCTCCGACGCGTCAGAAAAAACGTGTAGCTCACTTTGCTCTCCTTTGTGCATTCCTAGTATGAAACAAGTGAGTCGTATATTGCCCAATTTGGACAGGCACAGCCACCAGGTCTTATGATTCGCTCCGCATAGGGTCTCATGCCAAGTATTTTTTTTCCACAGATCCTACAGCAGAATCTTTCCCGACAGTAGCCACGGTGCGACGAACCCCACTGGATCGTAAGGGCTGGGCCAACAAAGACAGAATTTTTCTGCGAGTCGCCACCTTCTCAGATAACTGGAGTTTATACAAAAACTCATCTTTTTCCGAATCCCATTGCACACCAAGTGCTTTGTCTGTTGATAACGAAATCCCCTGCAAGTCACGGAGACTCGGCGCCTGCTCATCAACTGGGATGCAATCGATTGCATGACGACTGTTGTACATCCACTTGGTCAACTTGAACCCTTCCATGAGCAGTAGCTTGGATAAATCCCGAATGTGTCAAGCTCCTTCATCGAGGCTATCAAAGGATCCCAGGAAGTCGTCCACATAAAAATTATGTTCAACACACGAGCCCACTGGGGTTTCGAATCAAAGGATCACAGGAAGTCGTCCACATAAAAATTATGTTCAACACAGGAGCCCACCGGAGTTTCGAAAGGCTGAGGAAATTTGTTCACGATCGTTTTTAACGCCAAGTTTGCACAGAAGGGAGAGGATATCGCACCAAACAGGTGCACCGTCTTCCGATACTCCTGGGCAGGTTCGTCTAGGTCTCCATCCCGCCACCACCACAACCATAATCGTCCCTTTGTCCTTCGGGGACTGTAACCGGCATGAACATCTCCTCGATATCAGCCGCTACTGCAACTGACTCCAGACAGGAATCTGCACAGCACCTCGATCAGCGGAGTCATCAGGTCTAGGCCTTGTGGTAGATGGTCATTTAGGGCGATCTCGGCACACTTTGCAGCACAATCGAAGACAACCCGGATCTTCTGAGGTTTCTTAGGGTTTATGACAGGGTGGTGTGGAAGGTATCATAATGGTAGCCCTTTTTCGTTTTCTCCCATTGCCCGTTTGATCTATCCGAACGCTAGATTGCATCTTATGGCGTTACAGTAGGCTTCCTTCAACTATGCGTTCCTCTTTAATCATCCCTTCAGGCAGTTGAGCCTGTGGAGGGTTATTTCTCGATTTTCTGGCAGTCGGTTGGATCCCGGTTGCCAGGGTAACGGCACTTCAAACTGGGTTCCGTTGTGTCGTGTTGTTGCGGTGACGACAGCCAGGGCTCCTCGGTCATCCCTCGACATAGATACCCGGTCGTCTGCTATGTCCCTGAACTCGTGATTGTAAAGCCGCTCCAGGTCGTCTCCTATGGGCTTATCTGACTGCGAGATGAAGTTGATCGAGGCTGAAGAATTACCATCATTACCGAGCGGCCCGCAGGGTATCCAATCAAACATCGTGCGCACAGCACGTGGATTACTACGGCTTCCTGTCTGTTGGTCCAGAACCCAATGCGCCTCGGGTACATCACACCCGATCAATATGTCCACTCGGGTGTCCGAAACATCCTCAAACGGCAGATAGTGTAGGTGAGGCCAGCGCCGCGCTAACGACCGGATATTTTCGGAAGCTCTCATTGGTTAGTCAGCGATGGTAAATACCTGATGCACCTCTATCAGATCTTCTCACGATGTGGGGCTGACTTCAAACTCAGTTGAGAAGCTCGAACCGCTCGTGCCCCATTTACCGTGCTGATTACCAGTGAAATGTTTGTCCACCCAGGTCGTGTTCTCCACCGAAACTCTCTCACGAAGGCGGTATTCAACACCTTGTCTAGAAACGCCACGGCTTGCACTATGCCACGCGGAGTATCCACTTGGATTGATATTATTCCCAAGCAGACTGGCCCAATTGACTTTCGTCCAGTGGTGTAAACAAATTTTGGTGTATCCCCCGCAGACTGTTTGTTGGTTCTATCGACCCGGCCATTATTTGTTCGCGGCTCGGCTGCTCCATCGTGTTGTAATAAGGGGTGATACCGAACCCTGCAATTGTCTTGACCACAGTTGGTTCGGTTTCTGCAAATGGCTGCTCTGTGGGTATCGCTCAAGCACACAAAGCAGGATCATATCTTTGAGCTACTGTCCAGTGGTCCATCATCATCATTGCCAAGAACTCTGGGCAGGTAACAAGCTTGTGAACACCTGAGCACAATTTACACTTAATCGTTCCTTGTGGGTCATATGAAATCAAGTTGGTGCTCGCCCAGTTGTGCGGGGATGGGGACATCGAGATCCAGATGACGCCAAGTTGGCTGAAGGCCTAGCGGTCCTGATGCTTCCCCTCGCTAATTGACCGAATCGACTGTTTGCAGTGCGAGATTGGCAGCCTATGAATTGAGTGAGTTCGTCAAAGGTTGCCTCTTGGTTTCTTTTCTCGATTCGATTGACCTCGGTCGCCCAGGCTGTCTGCAGTTCGGCAGGCAAACATCTGACAATCGATTTCAGCGTGTAAAGTGCATCCAATTCCGAACGATGTTCGAGGTGGTTGAGGGCGATGCTGCAGTTCTGAATCTTGATAACCAGATTTGATACAGACTTTATATCGCCTCGTGTGCGTCTCGTCTCTGCTAGCACCCCGTTAATCATGTTTCGTGCCACTCGGAATGGTTGGCCGAACATCTTCTTTAGTATATTTCTGGCTCTCGAGTAGCTCACTTCCGGGTTTAACATTGCACACCTTTGTAAGGCCTCTTCGGTCCTACCCCAATCGTAGTGTAGCAAAAACAGAAACCTTTGCTCATCGTCGGTTTTGCATTCAACGAAGTTTTCGTATTGGCGAATGAATTGGCAATATTGTTTGGGATTGCCGTCAAAGGTATCAGTTCGACTCTTGACAAATCGACAATTACATGGGTATGCATTGTTTGCCTCGGGACGGATTCTTTATTCAGAAAGAAGCCACTGTGTACAGTCTCATCTCGAGGTGATGTTGTGCCGTTGAAATCGGTTTTTTCACGTTTGGCCTGTTTTATCAGCTGCTTAGCTAATCTCAACTCATGCTCTAATTCAGAAACCCGCAATATATATCAATATCCTTAACATCTGAATCTACACATGAAACAGCACTGACAGGACTAACAGACCTAACATTTTGTAAAGAATCAAAATGACCCACAGCCCCCCCCAGTGACTTGCCGGGCTACTTCCTGTTGGGTTCCAGTTTCCTTGGTTCCTCCTCTGGGCATCTTCGAAATAGTTTTCTCGTTTGATTCCAATTTGAGTACTGTACGTTAATCAATTTGCACTTGAGTGACACCTAGCCGAAACCGATAAGAACCTCGAAATAAAACACGATTGATCCGTATTGTTCTACGGTACTGAATTAGCGAAATCATTTTAAAATGTACAATGAAGCAAACCTCAAATATGCAGCAAAAGCACTCAAGCAAGCGAGCCAAGTATGATATTCAAAGAGTGCTAAACATTCGCTCACGTCCTCTGACCACTCATAATTCAGATATGCCGTGCATCAAATTGATAGATAATGTATGTTGTCTATGATTCAGAATTGTCAATACAGAAGCAACACACAGATTCAGTTATGTCACCATAAATCATCATGGGTTTGGAATGTTTTTTAAAACTTCAACATGAACTACAATGCCAATCGTCCGTCAACCCTAAACTCGGTTTTCAATAGATACCGAATAGATCTCATTTTGGTTGTGACAGATGAACCGTTAGGAAAGAGTGACCAAGGGTACTACGATTACAGTTTGTAGCGAGACGCGATGGGCCAAATGTTAAGCTAGTAAGAAACTGCGCCAGTATAAACGAGGAGCAACTAAAGACAGCTGCTAAGAACGTAAGTTGGTTTCCTGATTCACTTGAGCCATCAGTCGAAGAGCGATGCGTGGCAATAAGAGACGGGTTACCAGGGTTAACTCAAGGGTTCGCTTCCTTGGTTCCGCGTAGGTCCAGAAGCCGACCCCCTTGGTGGTTGTCTAGAATAAAGAGTGCTCACGTCTCATAGAAGACACCGGGCTTTCTACAGACTAGCTAGAAACATCAAAACCAACCCGAAAAGGTTCTCCACTTATGTACAACCTACACGTGAACCACACGTGAAAGTGTTGAAACCTTGGAGATGGCAAACGGTGACATACCTAGCACAGATAAGCAAGGACTGAGACGCTGATGGACTAGTTCAAGCGTCTATCGTCCGTCCCAGTTTAATGGAGTCCGGAACCCTTTGGTAGATACCAACAAACTCGAGCTGCAGATGCTAATCGTGAGGTAGGACGAGGTACGGACCGAGCTCAGAAGTCTTCGCAAGCATAAGGTGGCCAGTCTAGATGAGATCCACCCAGCTATCGTCCAGCCGCTAGCTGAGGTCATACTGGGACCTGTCACTGAATTGTTTAGGGCATCAATCAACTCCGGGGTGGTGCCTGAGGACTATCAGAAGGCGACCGTCGTAGCAATATACAAATCGAGGTCCAGACAAAAGGCGCAAAACTGCAGGCCGATCAGTCTAAAATCAATGCTGTGCAAATGCCTGGAACGAATAGTCAGAAGACAAATCTGTGCGCACTTGGTGACTCATAGACTCCTATCTCCTGCACAGCATGGGTTAACCAGATATAAGTCGTGCTTAACCAATCTGTTTATGTTTCTGGACGAAACTACACGTCGTTTAGATCAGGGTTGTGAAGTGGAGGTATGTTACTTAGACTTCAGCAGGGCTTTTGACTCGGTGAGTCTTACGTTGCTTGACCAGAAACTACCAACGTTTGAAATAATTGGGTCAGCGTGTCAGTGGTTGAAGCCATTTCTAAGCAACCGTAGCTTCGCTGTACGGGTTGGCAGCTACACATCTAGATCAAGGAAGATTACGAGCGGGGTGCCCCAAAGCTCTGTTCTTGGGCCCCTAATTTTACTTCTTTTCATCAAAGACCTCGCACTAGAATTATACAACCTCTGCCTCATCTTTGTGGACCATTTGAAGATAGCGGTTGAGAACTTAGGCCAGGATTTGGATGCGGTCTGCAGCTGGTCGGCTCGATGGGATTTACCCCTGAATCTTGCCATGTCAGCTACTGACTACTTATGTAGACTCAACCGGCAGCGCAGCCCTACAAGGTATGTCGGAGTTCAAAAACCTAGGAATAATTGTCACAAACGACTTCCGGCCTACTAGGCAATGTCAGGTTGTTGACAGTAAAGCAAGAGGAGTATTTTTCAGACTGCGGTCCGCATTCACCTGCATTAATGCATAAGTGTTCGTTCTACTGTACAAGGCAATGATGCGTCCACTGCTGGAGTACTGTGTGCAAGCTAGGACTCCAAACTATTGCAAAGATATGGAGTGTCTTGAGAGGATACAGCGATTGAAAACTAGAATGGTCACCGAACAGGTAGGAAAGCCACTTGCAGCGTCTGCAGGACCTAAATCCTTTCTCGCTGTCACGCCGAAAGACCAGAGGTGACTTGGTTGAAGCCTTCAAAATAGTAAAGGGATTGTCTGGCACAGAATTATGCAGCCTTGTCGTTCCTGCTCCGGAATGTGGCATTAAAGGACATAACTTTATGCTGCAACGAGAGCACTTCAAGTTAGAGTTGAGGGCTAGGTTCTTCACGAACCATTGTGGAACAGACTACCAGAGAATGTCATAAGCTGCTTAACAGTGGTGGCCTTTAAAAAGGCCTTAGATCTGTGCTAGTCCTGATATTTGAGAGGCTATGAAGGAACAACGTGAGTTTGTTCCTATATCCATGTATTTCATTCATACATATCTGCCTTTCGGAAAAAAGGAGAACGAACGTTTGAGGACCAGTGTTGGAAGCCAAGGCAACTAGCTGACAATACAACGATCTGAACGGACGATTGGTCTTAGCCACTTCCGTCCTGTGCAAATTGAGCTGAACTGACCTGAATTTCCGCACCTTCGGGGAGCGCATATGCCGAACACCTTCAGAGGCTGAACCTGTGTTCACTTAATCGGAGAAGGCTAAGTGGTGACCTGACTGAAACTTTCCGTATCTTGACAGGGTTTTCTCATGGAATCTCCCACCAACTCCAGCGGAACGACGTCCTCAATTGAAGGGGGCACAGCATGAATTTAGACAAGCCTCGGGCACTGAAACGCCTGAGAGCCACCTTTCTCGCACCGGGTATTTAATACATGGACCTCAGTAGGTAGTGGCGTCAAAACCCATTGCTTGGCGCATCCTTGGTATCAACGTTCCCCGATTGTATCTGACACCGGGCCTGAGGTCGCTAATAGCTCGTCCGTCTCCGTCATCCTCTTTAGATTAAGCTCTCATATCTTAATACTTCATTTTGACTCTCTCAACCTCATTTTTATTCACTGTTAACCACATTTTACTGAAGCCTCTCAACATCCAGGATAACCACTTTTCTTCTCCACAACACATCTGTTACACTGCATTGCTCAGAGCGGTGGGTTAAGAGCTGTTGCTTTGATCCTGACAAAATCTCAGACGTGTACTGTCACTCCGAAGAACCATAGAAGTGCGTTTACTCTTTCAAAACCACACTCACTCACATTTACGTGAACGAAATAACACAATTATCGCAGCGCCGTAGTGCTCCCAAGCTAATTAGTGCAAGAAATTAGATTGCTTCTGGCTTTGCCGTAAGTCCTGTGACTTATCCTGTTTTGTCCTGTCCTGTCCGTTTGGGGTACACCACGCCTCCAGTGTATTCGAAGAACGGAGTGATCTGGATGCAATTGGTGAAAGGAGGTCAATCCTGGTTGTAGCTGATTGCTTCAGCGAAAGCACCAATTCAAGGGAGGATTTTTAATCCCCAACAATCCACATGGGCACATGAACATGCTGAACAGGCGAGAGAGCCTGGACAGCGAAAAGAAATTCTCCGGAAAACAAATCCGCGTGATGAGATAAGATGTCAGTTTCCCAATCAATATGTGCCGCATTGAAATCACCCAAGACAAGACAATGTCCATCGCAGACGTATTTCTGTAAGCTGGCTGACAGCTTCGGGACGTACACAGCCGGTGTGCGGTAGATCACTCCAACCGGACGGGCGTAAGTCTCCAGCACCCGAACAGGGAGACCCGAGCGGGCAAATAAAAACAACTCCATCACCTCGACGTGACGACGATCGATCCGTTCGTAGCACTGTGTAACCGTGGAGTGATATTTCAGAGTCCCTCCTATCCGGTGTTATCCAGATCTCAGTGACTGCAAAACGATCGGGATTGTTGGAGGACTGGCCAGTCCCACCCATTGCCAAAGCCATTACGGTTGAGCCTTTTGGCAAAGACACAAGTAAACCCATTAGGTTAAAGGAAGACATCCTTGATGACCTCAAATGTCAATTAAAGATGATCAGTAATCTACTTAGGTCACTGAAAGCAAGCAGAGGCGGCCCAACCGGGGCACACAGAATCCTTTAGACTATTACCAACGAAGAGTCGCTGGTTAAGGAAAGCCTGCCGGGATATGGACAGAAGAAGAGTGTTAGATATCCAAAGGATAGCTGGCATGGAGAGGTGGACACTCAAGAGGGTTCACAGAGTAGGTGCCTGGAGGACGCCAAATAATGGTGATCCCCGGGCGGCTAGGCCACTTTTAGTGGATTTTGCTGAGCAATCCAGTATAAATCAACTACTGGCCAACTCTGAGAAACTATTCCACGTAACAAGGGGTAGATACAAGATAATTCCGGATGTGCCTAGGGCTCCTAGAATACAAGTTATTAGAGCACCAAGAACGCACTATAACCTACCGGGCTATCTCGGGACAATCGATCTTTAACAACCGGCGTACTCAAAGTGTCACCAACAGTAGTGATCGAAGATGTTATGGAGGACGAGGAGTGGCAAAGCTGTCTTGTCACTGAGACAGCCGAAAGCTGCTCTGTCGTCCTTGGAGCCGCGGCTGTGGCAAACACTCCTTTGAAGAAAATGTCTACCCCGATAGAAACCCCTGTAGACTTAAAATCATCATTTCTATGAGGAAATAACCTGGATAAAGCAAGCGAGACGTCGAAAATCTTGCTACCTATTCGAGTGCTGCGCCCGAGGCCCAAGATGGAGTAAATAGAGAGCCGAGTAACCCATCCACGGCAAGCTGTCGGTTACTTGTAACCAACGCCTGCAGTATTAGAAATAAGTGGATGGAACTCCTTGCAGCAGCATGTGACCGAATGCAATCGTAGTAGCTCTATCGGAAATATGGCTTAAGGACAACGATAGGGTACCAGGTGTAGTGCTAGAAAGATTTGCCATTCACAGGCAGGATCGGCCTCTAGTACAAGGAGAAAAGGTGGCCTTACGCATAAGGAAGGACATTATACAAATGGTTTGCGAAGTTTCGGTGAACCTGCACAGTGTCCAACCATGTGCTGTAACTCTGCTGTTGTCGGATAGCAAAATTACGATGGCGTGTCTACCGATGTCCCGGGGATGAAACCACAGATGATCGGGCATTGATTGATGCACTCGATCTATTAGTTCAAGGATCAGCAAAGCTGTACATAGTCGGTGACTTTAATTTAACCGATATAGATTGGATGGTAGGTAGGTGCACCCAAGGTAGTCAGGCGGAAAGGTATTTGGAATGAACAAGCACGAAGACAATCATCCAGCATGTTGTATTCTGCACGAGGTTCAGAGCCCAGCAGTAACCGTCCCTATTGGATCTCGTCATCTCCAAAAGGGAGCAGGATGTATTCAGTGTCACTGGATATCCACCGATAAAGAAGAATGATCACCTCCTCATTGGGGTCGATATCCGGACGAAGCCACTGGTACGCAGTTTTCGGATGCATAGCGATTTTGGCAGAATGAACATAAGTAGGCTTCGGGAACACACCGCACAAATGCAGTGGGTTCCCGAGCGTGACACCACAGATGTCGAGGAATGCTGGGTGTTGATGAAACATAACCTGCTCAACCTCCAGGATCCTTTTGCTCCGTGAAGATATAGGAGACACAAAGGAAAACCGCCATGGTGGCGGGCCACAGTAGCCAGGGCCATTAGGTACCGAAACCAAAGCTGGCAAGCCTACCAACTAGCCGGCACCCATAGGTTATGGGTTCAGTACACCGTCCACAGAAATGCAGTGGTTAACCTAGTGAGGGAGAAAAAAGGTTATTCGAAATGAAGCTGGCCCAGAAAGTAAAGCTGGAGCAAAAGAGGTACTACGGGTATGTCCAGTCAAAGAAATCTACCAGAGAAGAGACGGGCCCACTAGTACTTGAGGGAGATAGGGTTATAACTGAAAACCAGAGTAGAGCTGAGACACTCTGCGCTTACTTTAGTCGCGTGCAAAGGCTAGACACTGGCGATTCAACTACTTCTCAGCCCTCGGGGATAGACGTAGTGGAGGAACTACGGTCGAGCAAGTATCGGAGGTATTAGGCTCTCTTAAGGTGTCCAAGGTGACAGGACCAGAAGGGATTAGAGCGTAACATACTAATAACAGAGGCACCGCATGTTTCGTTAAGCAACCTTCATGCCTATCAAACTTGTGCTTTTTGGAGGATGTTAATGCAAAAATAGATGAGGGTAAAACCGTAGAGGTTTGCTATTTGGATTTCAGAAAGGCTTTTGATTCAGTAAATCATCGCCTGCTGTTGACCAAATTAGAACAATTTGGCATCCAAGGACAGATGCACAGGTGTAAAAGTGCCTTTCTCTCACAACGATCATTTTATGTGACCGTTGATGAGAACAGGTCCACACCAGTTCAGCTGACTACCGGAGCTCCACAAGGGTCAGTGATAGGACCACTTCTATTTCTTCTCTACATGAACAACTTGCCAAGCACTCTGACATCATCGTGCTAAATTTTTGCAGATAACGTCAAAGTGGTTGGTTCGAATGGGAGAAGTGATTTGGAACGGAATTTAGAGCAGGCAGATAGATGGACAAAGGAACTGGACCTAAGTCTTAACGCTACTAAGAGTCATGTGCTCACAGGGGCACTTGACAGAATGTTAATTCACTCGGAAGAGCACGAATTCGCCATCGAAACCGCTACTAGGGTTAAGGACTTCGGGGTCATGATATCGAACAACTTTAAGTGGTCTGACCAATGTTCAGTAGCGGTGCGCAGGGCTAGGGGGAATTATTTAGACCACGGTCGTTTCTAACATGCAGAAGACCGGAAGTCTTCATTCCCGTTTACAAGGCCATTGTCAGACCACACCTACAGTATTGTGAAACAGGCTTGGGTACCCTTATTCAAGAAGGATACTGCCTGTTTAGAGAAAGTGCACAGATTGGCCACCAGAATGGTTGAAGACCAGAGGGGGGAAATATGAGGAAAGACTTGAGGCTCTAGAAAGAAAGAAAGAGAGAAAGAAGGAGACTGCGAGGAAACCTGTAGAAATGTTCAGAATTATGAAGGGAATATCGGAGATAGAAGCGGACAGTCTCT